AGGGGCGCTGCACCTGGGCTCTCCGGCTTTGCCTCAACCGGGTTTGCTCAGGAGTGGATCCCAACTCCTTTTACCCCGAGCGCCTTCGAGCCTGAGGTCCCCCTGCAGGCGGCATGCGGTTGGGTCTTGCGGGCAGCGGTGGTGGGTCCCAGGCTGACCTGTCTGCTGCTGATTACGTTGTGTAGCCCCTCACATGTAACGTTACTGGTATAATTGAGTGCACACACCTATGCCGTGTTCCTTTTGCTCCCGTTATGTGGTCTCTGTTTTGTTCTGCTCCTCATTTAAATGGGTTAAAGTGAATACTTTTTATTAAAATTTTTAAAAAATGTTTTTATTGATTTCAGAGAGAGGAAGGGAGAGAGAAACATCAATGATGAGAGAGAATCATGGATCAGCTGCCTCCTGCACGCCCCGTCCCCACTGGGGATGGAGCCCGCAACCCCCACGTGCCCTGACAGGAATGGAAGCGTGACTTCCTGGTTCGTAGATTGACACCCAACCCCGGAGCCGCACCAGCCGGGCAAAGTGGATGTTTTTTTAATATAACAGTAATGATTTTTCCCCCTGGTTTAAAAGTTTCTTTTCCAGTGGCCTCTGTAGGTTTAATGTGTCCTTCATAGCAGCAGAATCCACTTCAGATTTGTACCAGCTTCATTCCACACATGCAGAAATGCTAGGCCTGGATAGCTCTGTGTTCTCTACCCGCTTTCATGGTGTGCTGTTATGAATATTACATTTCTTGTTACAAGCGCAGTAGTGCGATGTCATGCCTGCTTTTCCATTTGTAGCCATTTCTTAGCCCAGTACAGCCTTGCTCCCACTCACCTCCTTTACCCTGCTATTGCAAACTAGTGACCCAGTGCACGAAATTCATGCACATTAAAAGGGAATTAATTAGAGGAAATATTTTAATACTAGAGGCCTAGTGCACGAAATTTGTACACGGGGGAGGGGGTGTCCCCTCAGCCCAGCCTGCACCCTTTCCAGTCCGGGACCCCTTGGGGGATGTCCGACTGCCGGTTTAGGCCCGATTCCTGGGATCAGGCCTAAACCGGCAGTCGAACATCCCTCTCACAATCCTGGACCGCTGGCTCCTAATTGCTCGCCTGCCTGCCTGCCTGCCTGGTCGCCCCTGACTGCCCCCTCCCTGCCGGCCTGGTCACTCCTAAGTACCCCCCAACTCCACCAGCCTGGTCACCCCTTATTGCCCCCCCTGCAGGGCCTAGTCGCCCCCAAACTGCACCCCTCTGCCGGGCTGGTTGCCCCTTACTGCCCCCCCTGCCCATGTGCGTGGTTACTTCCAACTGGCTCGTATGCAGCATAGGTGCGCCGT